ATCAGTTTTTTTCCTATCACCACTGAGGGGTTTATTGGTAGATCATAATAGCCTTTTGAAAAGCTGCCTTCCATTGGTGCAATGTGAAACTCTCTGGTTTGAAAGTTACCTAACTGAAAGAACAATAGTCACTGCTTTGAAGGAAATGAAAATAACACATGGTATACCTCAAGGTTCAATACTTGGACCTCTGTTATTAGTAATTGTCATCAATCACCTGTCAGCTTGTTTTCATAAATGTACCATACACTGTTGGTCATAAAGGTGGAATAATTATTTTTACCCCAATTTATGGAATGATTTTGACAATGAGTTATTCATAATATATCTGAATGATAGTAAACATTCTCAGATTTTATTGAATAATAATTTGCGAGTGTTTGTTTTGCGTGACTGCTATTAAAAGCATATGTGTGCTACTATGCTAATCATCTAGGAGACCTGCGTCCGTAAGTCATAACTGACAGTAATGAGGATTAATGCTTCACAAAAGGGCACTAATATAGCTGATCGACACGGTTCTTATTCTGGGGCCTCACAGTAACGAGGCCATTGCTTAGCCACTGAATCATTACTGTACGCAGCGGGGGCTAGTATACGTTGCCGCCCCCACAAAGACAAAACAAAAACACAAAGAAAATGCATTAAATCATCAATAATTCATTGCATTTTCCCCCTCCACAACAGGAAAAATTCCTTTGTAGGGCTATGCATTATGGTTCAAGGCGTGCCCACATAGAGGATTTTTTTCGCTCTTCATCAAAAGTAGAATAATGTTTGATATTGTCAAATTATTTTCTTCTGATAAATGTTGGATTAATGGATACATGTGTCAATTATCGACTAGTCCTTACCTTCACAAATGAAGTTGGTGCTACTCCACGTTCTGTCGTCCTGACATCTTTTCTGGCTATCTCCCACGCCGCCATAGCCATAGGGGCAGTATAAGGAACAGAGAGTACCGTAGGGTTCTGTGTCCGGCGGGACGGCACTGCAGCCGGATTTTATGACGAGGGGCGCGGTAGACAAAGCCTCGCAAGATTTGACTGTTGTAGTGTTAGGTAGTCAAAACATCAATATAAATCAAAGAAGGAGAGACGAGAATGTGTGCTCAGGGAAATTAGAAGAGAGGCGGGACAGTGGACAATAAAGATTCTGAGGTTCATTCCAAAAAACTTTATGCAAGCAATTGAATCGACGGATACTCGTAAAGTGTGTGCCAGGAGGAATATACATAGAATATTATGTGCGAGAAATACTTGTACTAAACATTGTTCTTTGTTAGTTTGTAAACAGAATATAGATATAATGTATGATTATTATAGAATACAAATAATTTATTAAGCATTCGTAGAAGCAAAGTCGTGCAGGTAGAATTATGAAATTACTGATATTTCGGCAATATCACGATCAAGACCTTTAAGAAATCAACCTAAGGCAATTCTAACAGCCTTGTGCGTCACCGCTTTACATTCTTGAGCATGGCAGTGACCTGTTACATGATTCGAACATGCATTATATAGCCCTAGGCATTCAATATAATCGGGAAATAACATTTTCTTGAAAGTCCTTGCGATCTTGTTCAATATCGAGCGGTTATGTATGTATATAATGGTTCCAGGACACCTACCCCCTGGACATCCATCCCCCGGATGACCACCCCAGGCAACTACCCCCTAGGACAACAACCCCCAATAGGACAACTACCCCCTAGGGCAACCACCCTCTAGGACAACTACCCCCGGACAACTACCCCCTAGGACAACTACCCTTTGGACAACTACCCTCCGGACTACTACCCCCAGACAACTACCCCCTACGACAACCCCCCTCTAGGACAACTATCTTAGGGGGTAGTTGTCCGAGGGGTAGTTGACTGGGGGTGGTTATCCGGGGGGTGGATTTCCAGGGGGTAGGTGTCCGGATACGCTATATAATGTGTAAGGTTTTAGGTTGGGAATGACACATTCCCATTATAAATTGCAATTTGGAATTGTTGATTGTTAAGCTATGGATTATCATATACCTTGACAGACTGGTTGGGTACCATCCCAGGAAGCAGGAGCCAGACCGTTCTGGAGAACGCACTCACGTGACGATGAGCCAATTAACTCATAACCCTTGTTACAACTGAAGGTGCACTCGGCGCCGTACACTGGATCGCTGCAGTTTGCTATCGAACCCCTTGACGGTGCTTGCAGTCTGGGACATCGGAAAACTGCTCAACATAATCAATGTAAAAGGCATTATTTACTTTTCATATTTTATGTCAAAGATTCATATGAGCATACGCTTAACCATAATTGAAAAAAATGAATACTGAAGGAATGTGTATCTGCCGACAGAGGAAGCTTTTACAACAATTTCCTCACCATTTCTGCCCTACCTTTATTTTTTTACAGCTGAATTGGGATACAGGAATTAATCTATATTGTATAAAAGTATTTTGTTCTAACTTATGTTGTTACTGATAAAATTGTTAGGAGAAAAAGTTGTTGTTTGTTTTATACGTTTTTATTAAGTATGGATTTCAAATATTACACCTGCAAATAATAATGATTTGAAGAATCAAAATATAGAAAAACTAAAATTTAAATTGTACAGTAATAATTCTGTATTTTGTATGCACATAAGATAAACCATTATCGTTATTATGTAAAGAAGATATCTCATAATCGTTCTTATGTAAACAAGATATCCCATTATCATTCTTATGTACAGGAGATATCCCATTATCGTTCTTATGTACAGGAGATATCCCATTACCGTTCTTATGGTCAGGAGATATCTCATTATCGTTCTTATGTTCAGGAGAAATCACATTATCGTTCGTATGTACAGAAATCAAATTTACCTTGAACTGTCACAATAACTTCACATTTCCCGGAATTTCCAGACATGTCTGTAGCGATATAAGGAATTGTCGTGGAACCTTCACTGAAATTACTCCCTGGACCTAAATGATCGATAACTCTAAAATATTGAGAAAAAGTAGACACTCTTCAACATTTAACTATTCCTTCATGTATATGAATATTATCTTTCGTTTTTTTTTATATAGATTTTTCACTTTATACTATGTGATTATAATAAGCAATTTTAAACATCATTTTGGTATGGGCGAGGTGGGGTTAAACTACACAGGCCCTATGCCAAATTGAAAATGTATGTTAGACTCAACTTTAAACCAAATTTGTTTAAATATAACATTAGCAATTTTCACGGAAGTTGTGGCCAATATCTCACCGACCTCCCATCCCACTGACGTTATATATGGATGATGATCAAATGTTAATATTGGTTAAACATTTTCTAGACAATGAAGAATAAAAATAGCAGCATTTACTGCTTATGATTTCAAACTTCATAAATCAACTTACTTGCCTTGAAAGAAATACATGGAAATAACTGTTGCATTTATGCTCTTTAATGGAATTTCAATGGAACTGTAACATAATGCTCAGTAGCACGACCTAATTTACCGTGAAAGATAACATTTAAGAGGATTTTAAGTAGAAACAAATTAACAAGTGCTTAGTACACGAAGTGGGTGTGGCTTGTAACATGTAGAGTAATAACTGTACTAATATATGAAAATAACAGCACTCTTACTTTACAATAGTAACGAATCCAGAGTTATCGATGGCTGTAATATCATCGTACCAAACTGTTGCGTGAGTTGTCTTTCTCTCAGCGTTTTCGTAAACATAAATCGGACATGTATGATCAAACACAGGAGACTGCACGTCTGCAAAGGTAAAAAATTAGCAAAATATGCAAAATAACGGAATTACTTTTGAAAAATATCTACAAGTGCGCTGTAATTTTCTTTCGAGGTTTAATTTCCAGAAATATGAACTGTTGCCACTATTAACTCCAACAATATGTTTTCATTTAAACAAAACACACTGGTGTTTTGATCAAAAGTGAAATATAAACTCAGGCCTATCTGATTAAATGATCACTGTTGTAGTACAAGACTGATAGGATTTACCAACCAAGGATGACTGAAGCTTTATTCAAATGTATCAATGTTATCATCTAATAGTTTAAAACAAGTCAAACGAATCCTTCTTTTCTTAATAATGGACATTTTTCTCAAACATTCTCTATTTTTATTCAATTCCTTTTCTCCATAGATTTGCACATAGCTCCGTTTAGTCTCATTTGACAACGCCCCTTATCGTCAGAGTCCAGCAGCCTATTAACATGTTAGCCTATGGACTTTTACCAAAAACAAAAAACAAAAATCGTTAAAAATTCATTTTTTGTTTAAACGAAAAGCACATCCACCCCGACGTACGTTATCACTAGCTCTTCCATTGGAACCCTCATGTCCTATTGACTTTTGAGAGTTTACTCACCGTAATTTGGTCAAAATAGGTCGCCAGCTCGCCATTGCCTATAACACATGTGCAACAAGTCGAACTTTGGACGCTATTTACCACTCGATTGTAAAGTTATAAGTCAAGAACACGAACGGTAACAAGCATGAATTATCATAGATCAGTTCTGATTTGTTCATTATGTTCAGTTCAGCCAACCCCCCCCCCCCCCACCGTAATTTTTCCATTTACTATAGGCAAGCATTTGCGTTGTGAAATGAGAATAAACGGAGCAATATGTTGCTGAGGTGAGCAAAAAACATGAATATTCATGAACACCATGGACTATTCGACTATTTTAACAGAGGGGTGCAATTGAATTGTGCACCACACCAAACTCCCCTATTTTCAGTCAAGTATTTCATTATATTATGTAGTTTGGTAGGTTTTTTTTAATAACTGTTTAATTATCAGATATCAATGATAGTTTAAAGATATGGAAAAAAGTTCTTGTATTTTATATTTAGCAAAGCAATCTCACATAAAAATCACTATCAAGTGTCGTCTGATCCGCCGATTGCCGTCTGCTATATACGCGAACTAGCTACGTTTGTGCTGGCGAATATGAGACAACCGGAGCAATATGATTAATTTACAGATCTCACAATCAATAATCTATTCATAAACCCAATATTTACCCTCGCATCTGACACTTCTTTGATTGTTCCAAGATCCATCTGAAGTGCATATCTGGGAATAGGGACCATACATACGGAATCCACTCTCACATTGGAAGTTACATTCAGTGTCAAAGGGCACGGGGTCAGGCTTGGTGCAGATGTCAGGGGTAACACTTCCGTACTTAAGGCTGATATTGGCGGGACAACTCACGATGACTGCACAAAAGAAAAGAATGAATTCAAAGACAAGTAAATAAATAAATGTAAATTATAGAGTGCCTCAAGCGATGTTCTTTAAACACGGACTAGTTAGCCATTAGGCCCGTTTACAAATTATAGTTTGTGCGATTTGGATCGCGATGCAAAGATCAATTTTTTTGGGCCACCGTGTACACATGTCAATTTAGTGCAAATCGAATCGCGATGCAAATATTTTTGTTGGCGACCATTCACACACAGAGAGAATTCTCGCTCGACGACTAGAACGTCTGAACTGCGCATGCGTGAATCTCGACGATGTTTGCACGCTTTGAATCCTGGAATCAAATAAATCGATATTTGATTCTCGATTTCATTCATACACACAACGCCCGGCAAACTATCGCGATTATTCTGAAAAATCGCAAGACTTACTGCAAATTGGATCGTGATGCGCATCGCGAAAATTAGTGAAATTATTCTGTCCATACACGCAAACAAAATCTAGGATTTTTCTTATGTCGATGCAAAAATCGATTTTTAAATCTCACTTGTGCATGTAGGTGTGAACGCCCCTATTGTGTGTCTTACACGTTTAAACTTTTCGACATGACAGGTATGCCAAAGAGCATGTAATGTCAGTACATAAAGTGGTTTCGGGTATTGAAAATATTTACTTTTCTAACATCTTTGTCAATTTTGTCCAGACCAGGCATTGCCATTGGGGTTTCACTAAATATAAGAAGGTCTATATCTATCCAATTTTCATTTGAAAATGTTCTTGTTGGGCAATTCCCCCAACACCTTTGGAGGACAACAACAGCCAATTTTTGTAAGAATATTTTAGTTTTTCTATAAAGAGAACAGTTTTGGTCAAACCGAAATTAGTAACCATAACCTGCGCCATTACATTACAAACTAATAGTTATAACTGCACGATGCTCGAAAGGTTTACACAAATTACAAACGACTTAGCGATAAGCCTGTTAAAGCCTGGTTCAAAATTATTGAATATTTTAGGAGCCCCACAAATATTCATTCAGATTTTGTCATTTAAATTGTATGTTTTTTCAAATTTGACACTCAGTCTTTCATTATTTCACAAAAAAATATTTGTATAGCGCCCTCTATACCAACACCCAACTGTTCCTTTAACATACTGTCACAAAGTAGTTCGATGTTGCCCCAGGTTGCATTGGCTTGACATGACCTTAATATGACCTTATCAGTGGTACTTGATCGATAGCCGTCATCACATTCAAATTCGCACTGGTCTTGATACTGTGCTTCTATGGGCGGACAGCCTGTCACGTGACCGTTCATGATATCGGGTACTGCGCATGTCACAGCTGGAACAGAACAGAAAGAAATTGAAAATGCCTCATTAGCCTATTAGGGCCTACTTGATGGTAAATACTCAAGATATGTAGCTGGAAACGGCATTCTATTCTCCTGTTTTGTTACTAATTTGTACGTTTATATTCATTGATTCCGATAGTGCAACGACTTAAGATCGGAAAACTATTAACAAATAGTTATTTTTATATTTATTCGTTTTTCTTGGATAACGTTAAAGTCATAAAGCTACGTCACCAAGTTTTCAACAGAATATCTCTCACACGTTATTACGAATTGCGTATTCAAGTGCAGACCAAATCAAAGGACAAATTATCTTCTTTTTAGTAATATTGATTATCATTATATGTAATATATACTTTTTTGATAATTTCAATCGTTAGTCATAGAACTTACCATCGCATTCTGGCTGCGTTCCGTTCCAGTACCCAACTGTGGTTGTGTCAGACATTCTTAAGCAATATCGCTCAGTTGTTAAATTGCCGTCTGATATTATATACCCCTTGTCACACTTGATCAGACAGCCAGATCCATAGACTGCGCCACCCTCGCATGACCCTTGACCCAGGTAGAGTGTGACGTCGCCATTTGAGGGTGGGTAAAGTGGGGCACAGCGAGTAACTTTTAAAAAGAAAAGAAGATATCCCCAATATTATAATAAAGTTGTAGGGGTATCACGGGAATTACAGGCGATTATTCTTACAACTTACGATACAACTACACCGTTGGTCATAATGGTGGAATTATTATTTTTACCCCAATTTATGGAATGATTTTGACAATGATTTATTCCTAATAGATCTAGATTATAGTATACTTTCTCAGATTTTATTGAATAATAATTTGTGAGTGTTTGTTTTGCGTGACTGCTAGAGCATACATTGCTACTCAACTAAAAGACCTACGTCCATAAGTTCATCTGTAGGGCCATACATTATGGCCAAGGCATGGTCACACAGAGGATTTTTTTCTGTTGGGGATTGGGGCAAAATACAATGAATTATTGATAATTTATTGCAATTTCTTTGTTTTTTGTATTTGTGGGGGCGGCGACGTACCCTAGCCCCCGCTGCGTATAGTTATGATTTAGTGGCTAAGCAATGGCCTCGTTACTGTGAGGCCCCAGGATCAAAACAGTGTCGATCAGCTATATTAGTGCCCTTTTGTGATGCATTGATCCTCATTACTGTCAGTTATGACTTATAGACGTACGTCCCCTCGTTGATTAGCATAGTAGCACACACATGCTTTAGCAGTCTCGCAAAACAATTACTCGCAAAATATTATTCAATAAAATGTATACTATTATCTAGATCTATTAGGAATAAATCATTGTCAAAAACATTCCATAAATTGGGGTAAAAATAATTATTCCACCCTTATGACCTACAGTGTATAAAGCCATCGAATGGGCGTAAAGTGTAAACCAATCAGAACGCAGGAAAGGTACAGCCATTCAACTATGCAAATATACGGGGGTAAGAGGACACTTTTTTTTTTTTTTAGGTCTCGAAATTTGAAAATTTGACATTTTTCTTCGTTGGGGGGGGGGGGGGGGTCAGGTCATTTTTTAGGGGGGTTTACACACATAAAAATACCAAGGGAGGGGGGGGGGGGGTGTTCAACCCCCCCCCCCCCCCTGCGTACGCGCTTGCGCAAAACGTAACACTGGCAAATTATTATTCAATTAAATTGGAGGATGTAAACTATTATTTAGATCTATTAGGAATAAATCATTGTCAAAATAATTCCATAAATTTGGGTAAATCAAATATTCCAACTTTATAAGCGACAGTGTATTTGAATAGTGCTACAAGGGAGAAAGCACGTAGGATACAAACATAAGTCAGTGATATTTGTGTACACGACAAACGGGAGAGCTTTGCATCGACTACGTTACAATCTACTGACCAAACTTTTATTTTGAGGTTTGCATAGACTTAGCGATATCATATTTCAAACATTCATATATATATTTTTGTATATTTATAGGTCCAAGTTATTTCAAAATTTCGCCTATTTATTTATCTTATATTTCTGATTTCATACAAATTAATTGTTACAAGGGATTGCCCTTTCAATTTTCCGCAATCATCAACCCTTTTTATCAGGCGAATGACCGAATGAAATATCAAATGTTATTTACTGTTTCAGTGAAACATGAAAGTTATTTGCTTTTTCCAAGATTTTTGTAAGATACCGTATTGACCCTGACCTACTTCTAGGGTCATGTAAGTGTATACGTTGCAGAGCACATTTTTCCATGGATGTGATCTGACATATCATTTTTTACGCTTATTTAAAGGCCAGAATTCCAGGTTTAGGAAAATGGCAACGGTATTTCAGAGTCGCTAGCAATTTCCGCAAAAGAAGTGAGTAAAGCTTGGATAAGATATTATGAAGTGTATGATAATGAATTGGTGGAAATTAATGATTATTTGGTGTCACATTCGAGTATGAAGATGTGTTAGTAATGTGCATGTTAATGTGTATATAAGTGTGCAGCGTAATGTGTACGTTTACATTGAAAGTACGTGCCGTATTTAGTTACTGTTTAATTCACACATTTATAAAGAGGAATTTTGTGCTTTTGAAATCACCGAGTAATAATGACATTACTCAGAGGTTGATTTAAGGTTGTTTTAGTTGACAAATGTTGGTATTGAAATAAGTGTCAGATAAATAAGAGATATGAAAGAAAAAGACTGAGGTATAGTCAGGTTTTTGGAATTTATGATGAAAGTTTCAATGAGTCTAAATAAGAATGACAAGATTGACATACTTTGAGTAAGATATGATTTATTTATTAAGCATATATTTAAAGGTAGTCTTGACTAGGAATTTATTTGGGCTAGGGACCTTGGTTACTTGGGTTTTTATGAGAGCAGTATTTCTGTCAAGATATGTTATTTTGACATAGAGATTAATGGGGGTTTAGGCCTTTTAGAGAGTTTTGGGATATAGAGTCAAGACTTTTAATGAATGCTATTTAAGGCTTTTGATTATACATTACCGGATAAATGCATACTGATTTAGTGCAGTATATTTTGTGTGTTATAGACATGTATACTGAGGATGTTTATTTTTATTCTACTTTCAGGTTGAATAAAATTGCTCAACTGGCATATCGTTGAGTTTATGCAACTAAGCGGAAACCTAGCCCTGTCTTCCTTTTTCGAGCGTACCACTTACAGATTCACAGCACTTGTATGGCTCCATATTTTATCTGTTTCAAACATTCAAAGGCATGGACTACACATTTGCTTGAAAAAACATTTTAATATCTTTATAAATATCCGATATGTAATTATGAATAACGGTTATAAATACTTGGATACAGGTAAAGCATCCTATGAGATTAAGCTGGCATTTACCTTGACTTTTAAAATTTGCATTGACGATTGCTATATAAAAGTAACACCAGTACCACAAAGAGTTTTACCTTTGACCTCTACTTCAAAAGAACATGTAGCCATGAAGCCAGCCATGTCAGTCGCACGATAGGAAATAATGTGAGATCCTTCATCGGAAAAAGCAGGCCTGTTGTTACCAGAGACTGGGACAGAGTCTATTGAGACTAGAGTTGCCGTTATTTGGATACTACCATCAATTGCCTGGTATTATTGAAAAGTAAACGCATGCAATGTAGTTAATCTCATGACTTATGTTAGGATTATCTGAAAAGATTTATTCCGTTTCCGAATATGAATGTCGGAAAGAACCCAACATACAGTGCCGTAAAATGGGACATCGCTCAAATGGAGTACTCGAAGAAGATATTTTGCGGGTCGTATGGTCAGATCAGATCTGGGTCAGATCGATAATGAGAGTGATCATTTGACTTTAACCTGTAAGTAAAGATATTACTGCTCCTAAAGTCATTTTAGTAAAAGCTTTTTGGGTTGTGTGTCAACATCTAATCTGCAATGATTATCGTTCCTTGCTCATTAAATCAAATTTCAAATCAATCAAGTTCGAGGTGATAGACTAAGATAGATCTTTACCTTAACAGGTTCCCAGTCTTCCCAGTGTAGTTCAGCTTTTGATTGACCAGCCAGAGCAAATATCACTCGGTCAGGTGGACAATTTAAGACGGGAGGAGTAAGGTCTGATACGGTAACAAATGAAAAAAACAACTACACATGAGCATCAAACGGAATATAACAATGGCCAATTTAATCGTTATTTGTTTATCAATGACTGTCTTCTAACATGTCCAACGATATGCAATATTAAACTATAGTAACGCCACAAATGAGCATTTCGTTTGCATTTATTGAACAGGTTCGGTATCGAATGTTTCATAAAATACAGCTAACTTTGCAAGTGAATTTTGTGAGGACAATTATTCCTCATATCTGTAGTTCGAATTTGTTATTTGTTGATGCATAGTTCCCTACAGGAGGTGCAATGGCTAAGTGGTAGAAGTCGTAACTGGGAGGTCCCGGGTTCGAAACCAAGTCGATAACATTATGCCCTTTCGTAGGGCATTAATCCTCATTATCAATTCACTCGGAGAGGAGTTAAAACCGTCGGCCCCCGATCGTTTACTTATTCTCATGCACATGCGTTCTTAGCAATCAGATAAAACTAACAAATAATCATGCTTCTGAAGAGGATGGATCATTAATCATACTGACACTATTTAACCCTAAACGTGTTTCGAAATCAAACTTGGTCAAGTTCGTTAATAGCTCCCCATTTTGAAAAATGTATGCGATGGGGCCAAAACTTAAAAACAGTCATGGTTGGACTGTTAGATTAGGACATGTATGTTCTTCCCTTCCGCGGATTGGAACAACCCCCCCCCTCCCCCCCCAAAAGGAGAATATGCAGCATTCATTCTACAACATCATACAGCTCACAAAATATATCATTCCTACAGAGACATAGATATAATTTCTCTTGTTAATGGATTATAAAATATATCCTTACCGAGGCAGCTTTGAGCAATGCCATCCCACCCTTCGTCTGCCAGACAACGTCTCGATGTTGCACCCTGAGCTGTGTAGCCAGAGTTACACAGAACATTGCACGTAGTTCCATAATCCTGCTTCGTGGAAACATCCGTCTCTTCTCCGCCTAGTCGACAGGATTCAATAAACCCGTTCACAGGTACCTCGAGGGGATTGCACTGAACAACTGGTTGTCAGTATGAAAAAAGAATAATACATGTCATCACCATCCTACGGTATCAAAAGGCATTTCATTTCGTTCTTTCACTAAAATAAATTGATCGTTGAGAGTTATGCTTATTTTGATTTGATATGTTATCATTTATTCATTGATGATTTAAAACAGAAAGCAATTTACGGTCAGTTCTATAACCTTTTCAATTTCTTTTAACAGCATGAAAACAAAAAGAAAACTAAAGGTCATATTTTCCTTATGAAATGAAAAAAAGAATCTTTGTGATGAATTTTTGAGAGTATATATTGATTTACCTGTAGTAGGCATTTATAAATTTACTTGAAACGTAAAACAAAATCAAAGAAATGAAAAGCAGTACAGAGAGACAATGAATGAGATTTATCTGTCAGAGATTCAAGTTTTTAAATCACTGTTCATGCCTGGACGTAACATCCCAGTAGATCCACAATACGGGTCTATGGTGTGAACCTTCAACATTTTTAAAGCCCACATAGCCATAAACATTCTTGCAACTGTTCGGAAGGTTACAGGACAGACATTGTCGGTCTACTGGGCTGTCGGTCTCTTTTTCAGTCTGTTTACTGTCCAACGTCCACAGTAAAATAGTCGGGAATCTAAGCTACTGGCGATTCCAAGAACTTTATTTTCACCTGTACATGAGACCGGTCCGCCACTCCACACTCCATTACCGTCGCCATCATCCAAGCAAGTTCGAGGTACCGACCCAGAAGGGAGATAGCCGATATCACAAGTAAATCGGCACACTGTTCCATATTTCTCATCATCATATGGACATCCGCTCTTTATACCGTGCAGAGGTTTGGGTATATCGCTGTTGATACATGTCACAACTGATAAACAGATTGCAGAGATTAAAAAAAGAACAAATTATCACCAGTCGGCAAAATGGGACTGAACTTTATATGTTTGTCACGAATTATATAATCCTTAGCTGTAAACTCATTGTACAAAGAGTTGATGAGGCTGCCTTGGTTCAATTATATCAGTATCATATTATTATTGTAGAAATGAGGACACTTGCCCCATCGTAAGTTCAAAATGCAGATAAAGAAAGAAGAGATATTGGGAAAGAAACCCTGAGAAAACTTACTACCTCATCAAAATTGGCTTCATGATTGATATTCGAAACGTCTACTGTAACTTATTAACGTTGGCTTTGTCTCTACTCTATGTTTAATCAAGATATTCATATTTACCTTCACAAACAGGAGCCTGCTGTTGCCACTCCCCGTCTATCCCACAAGTCAAGATTTCAGATCCATGCAGGTTGAACCCATTACCACATTCGAACTCGCACTCCTCTCCCAGCTCCAATTGACTCTGCTCTGTGCATGTCGTGTTGATAACGTATTGCATTCCGTTGTCCAATGGAGGTACTTCACACGTCTCAACTGATGTCAGAGTTTCAATGGTAAAAATGGGACAGTTTTAATTTAATTTAATTTAATTTCATTTCATTTCTTTTCATTTCATTTCATTTCATTTATTTTTCACATTAAAAACCAGAAAAATATACAAGGTAACAGAATACATTGGACACATTTGACACATAGAGCAAATGAAAACAGATACATAAGCATAAAAGAGCAATGAAAATCTACATCAGTTAACAAACATCAACATTGAAACATAAAAAGGTAAGTAATGTAGATGGGGTTTGAAAAAGCGAAGCTTATTGAGTCTAGCCTGATCTTGATGTAATACATTGATTTAAAACATAACGTAAACGCGTTACATGTTTAGAACTTGAAAAGGATAAGTGACATTAAAACGTTTCAAGAAAGACAAAAATATGTTGTAGTATATTGTTCGGTGATTATGAATTAGTCTAATGCAATGCGCTGTTGAGATTGGATGATAAACGCAAGTAATGAGTAATTTTACTTAATATGGCAGTAAGAATGCAATCAATATTTTTAAATAATTGGTAAGCAACGCCGTATACCTGTGCAAGTAGGTGGAGTACCCATCCACAATGCCTCTTCACTTCCGGGTTGAGCTTCGCATCTCAAGACGTTGTTATCGATGAAGTACCCAGCGTTACACATGAAGTAACAGGATGATCCGTAACTCCGTTGACATGGTTGACCGCCAACGTAATCTCCATTGTCAGGGGCATCAAGCACTGGGCACTCCAAAACTAGAATTATGACAAAAGGTAAATCTAGATTAATATCTACTCGCTTTAAGTGTAGTTTGATTGTATTTTGTCGTACTAAAAATTTATATGTTGAAATATAGTGAAAAGATAACTAGAGGCTCAATCACGTTCCTTGACAATACCTGCCTAGATAAGCCCATAATTAGAACAAATCTTTTCCTATTGATGTATCACATAAAGTGATTCAGATTGGCTTCTTCTTGTTATGCAGACTTGACCACGAGCACGGGGCCCCGGCCGTTTTTTTTCCCAAACAGGTTTGCCAATGCTAATATTTCTGGTCATCCGATTGGCTGATATGTTACGTCATTAGCAATGACGTAACCGTTAGGGTGAGTGATAGGGTTATAGAGATCATGCAGAATCACCTTTCATTAACCCATCGTTGGCTCAATCGGTAAGGTCAGCGTAATACCATTTTAGAGTTGTGGTTCAAGTCTCAGTTTATTCAGTTTTTTATGCCTTTATAAATAGTGAGGCAAGGCAATAAAAAAATCAAAGTCTAATCTCTTTCCAAGCTGCTAATGACGTAGAACATATCAGCCATTGAGAAGAACGGAAATATAAGAAATTGCAAACCTGTTTGGGAATAAAAATTTCGCGCCCCGGCCCCCACGCCGTGAAATGATGGATACCATGCGTGTTCCCAAACTCTCCGGCTCGTAACAAAAGAAAAAAGGTCTACCCGTATTGACTTTACACACCGGACTTTTGCTGAAAGGGGGGGGGGGGGGGGTGGGGGTGTTGATAAAGGCTCAAGAAAAAGGTCGACCCTTATTGACTTCAAACATCGGACTTTTGCTGAAAGGGGGGGGGGGGGGGGGGTCGCTGGGAACACGCATATGCGTACCCTAAATAACACAGAGTGGGGGGGGGGGCAGAGGGCCCGCTCAGTAATTTTCTTTATGTAAGGACCCTACCATAATTGACTGCACTACGTTATATAACTCCAATATAAACATATGGCTCCGAATAGTCTCACTGGACAACGCCCCCTATTGTCAGAGTCAGATGCCTAACATGTTAGCCTACGGACTTTTACCAACAAAAAAATCGTAAAAAATCCATTTTTTGTTTAAACGAAAAGCACATCCACCCCGACGTACGTTGACACTAGCTCTTTCATGGGAACCCTCATGTCCCATTGAATTTTGAAAGTTCAGCCACCGTAATTTGGTCAAAATAAGTCGCTAGCTCGCCATTGCCTATATAACACATGTGAAACAAGTCGAACTTTGGACGCAATTTGCCACGCGATTGTGAGGTTATAGGTCAAGCACAAGAAGGATAACAAGCATGAATTATCATAGATCAGTTCTGATCGGTTCATTATGATTATCAGCCAACCCCCACCGTAACTTTTCCATTTAGTATAGGCAAGCATTTTGCCGAGGTAAGCAAAAACATGAATATTCATGATCGCCATAGACTATTCGATTATTTACAGAGGGGTGCAATTGTGCACCACATTAAACTCCCCTACTTTAAGTTAGGTATATCATTGTATTATGAAGTTTGGTAGGTTTATTTTAATAACTGTTTAATTATCAGTTATCAATGATAGTTTAAAGTTATGGATAATGTTCTTGTATTTTATATTTAGCAAAGCAATCTCACATACAAAATCACTACCAAGTGTCGTCTAATCCGCCGATTGCCGTCTGCTATATACGCTCAAGACACATTTATCTGTGGACTGTGATGTAGATCGACAGTTTACTCGTCATTGTAGACTTATGATTAGCCATCTGTCATTTTTAGTCTTTATCTGTTCATATACATACAATTACCACACACACGAACACTCTCACTTCCCTTCCCCAACACACTATTTCCGCACACCCGCTTCACCTAATGGCAAACACCCGGCAACACAGTGGAACATTCTAGTTTGGTAGTGCCGTCGAACTAGCTACGTTTGTGCTGGCAATGGTCCAGCGAACGAAAATGAGACAACCGAAGCAATATGTAAACAGAAAGTAGTTCCTGTATTAAAAATGGTTTATTTCGTGCGAAAAATCTTCGATTATTTTGCGAATTTGGAGGCAGACCCTCTCTCGTCACCAATTAATACTTACTCTGACACTGTGATGCGCTGTCTGTCCATTTTCCAGCATTAACAATTTTCTCGCAGGTTATGGAATCGGTCCCATCAAGACGATACCCAGTCGTGCAGGTAAACGTGCATACAGACCCTCGAATATTTCCATTGGGACAGCTGACTAGAAGACCCGGGTAGATCGGAATGCTTCGACACATAATCACTGTATGGAAAAGCAATCGTTGAACCGTGTTGGTAAATTTTTACGTTCGATTCATCGAAAAGTATTATTGTTTAATGAAGTTTAAAGCCCTCTACAGTGTTGGGAGCCCTACAAATTTGATGGTAAAATTTCCCTGAAATAATGTGAAAGATCGAGGATGTCATTTAAGACACATTTCTGCAATGAAAGAATACATTGATGAGGTTTTCTGCGTACAACAGAATACCCAAATTTTGTATTATTTTATCATTATTTGTCTTCAAAGAATTTTGTTTTGGGGAAATCTTTGCACAGTATGATACAATTTCAGTGAAAGTTTGCCATAAAATTTTCAATGAATTTTGGGCTTCCAACACTTTAAGAGGAGCTGTATAGTATCAGCAAGTGATTTACATTAGGCTGTAACACACACACACCCATACAAACATGTGCACAAGGCATTTTGAAAATGGGGGGGGGGGTGGGGGGGGGGGCACAATGAAAGACAGACAGAAGCAGCGCGTTCTTCGCTTACGTGGATGGGGCTGTCTGAGTGGGGGTGGGGGGGGGTGACCTCCTCAGTTGAAGAAAAATCAAATTGTCAAACTTAATTCAAGCGATACTTGCACAAAGGCAGAAATCTCGAAAAGGTAAAAATAAGGAGTATTGATATTAACTGAGTTGAGGAAGTACCTTGCACGGTAAAGGTAAAGGTGCAAGTGGAGGATAATCCAGAGCTATCAGATACCGTGTACTTAATGACATGGTAGTTCTGGCTGAATCTTGAACCAGACGGATAGCCCTGTGTTTGTACGGGAATCACAGTCTCGCCAGAATTGTCGGATGCTGTTGGCTCCACCCAGGTCACTACTGCTGTATCCTCTAGCTCGTCCGCGTAAATGATCTGCGACGGAGGACAGGAGTCGAACACTGGAGCCGATGAATCTTAAAAGTTATGATTGTGCGAATTAGTTAAAGGTAAGAAAAAAGATGGTCGTAAAATATTTTATGTATCTTGACTCATGATAATCAATGGACCATCAGCAACGTTATACCCACCGTTTGGGGTAGCCAATGTGCCATAGACTCCGATTCTTTCTTACGCCCCTACCCCCCCCCCCACCCCCAAAACTAATTAAAAGTTGCAGTGAGTCAACGTACGTCACGTGTTGCTCGCCATACACGTATATATCGGCAACCCCAGGTCGTAGGCTTCCCTTTGTCAATTCAGTGACAGGCCAATGATTACGACCCCTATTTACTTCTCACATTATTAAACACTGTAGTGGCCCAATCACAGTGTGCGACGTGCAGCACTCTGTAGCTGTAAGGAAAGGGCGCCATATTCCTTTTGTATGGGGCTGGATTGGATTGGATCACTTCCCCGTTAAATAGGTCTATGTTGCAAGGTGCCTCAACATCAGATGGAATAGGCCTACAAGCTTATTGCACCGTGAAGAATCGATGAAGCGCACCAACGACAGTATATACCTAACATATGTCTTGTCAAAGTTCAAAGGTCCCGCTTACCTTCGCATGATGATTGAGTTCCAGTCCATCCTGTCGAGGTACAAATACGATACTGGCTTTGACTGGGTGGTATCGCGTATCCAGCCTGACATGAGTAAGTGCACACACTCTGTTGGTAATTACCATTTGTACATGTTACGTCACCGTCAGGGGGCACTTCAATGACGTCAGGACAGAGTATCACTATCAAAAAAAGAAGTATTAATTTGAAGTTTTTTTTTTATTTAGATGAAATGTAATACTGACTGTCATTGTAATTTGTTGATCGGCAAATTATTGTTTGTGAAAAAAATAGTGAGAACATATAGTCTACACATTTCCAATGGGCAGCGTACACTATGCTGACATGTTTGCCTAGAATTTAATAAACGCATTTTGAATGATTCAGACACCGGAAAACAGTGTTCACACATTCCAAAGGTGAACAAGTTGGAAACTGACAGTATAAAAAAGTATTAACAAGGGATCCCCTCAAATATACCAAAGATTCTTTTGCCAAGTCCTATATATCCTTGTGTGAATGGCTCAAATAGATGTGGAGCATTATTGGGAATTAGCTTTTTGTAACTGCAATGAAAGGCACTAAAGAGTAGATTAACAAAACAAAATCTGAAAGCTTTACTGGTTGAATGTTTCCTCTTATACCTGTTCGACCCCACAGGATATCAACTTTAAAGATATAGACAGTCAAATATACCTGCGAGTGTGTCATACCTTCACAATAAGCCTCTTCCCCAGACCACTGTCCAAGCAACTGTTCATTCTGGTCACTTCTCCTACATTCACGAAGCATTTCTTTGTTCAAACCGTAGCCATCGATACAGTAGTAACTGCAATTGGAGCCCACGGCTAAACCATTAGTGCATATTACATAACCGTTGCTCGGATGCGAGAGAGCTCTACATCTCACAACTATCAAAATGAACAATGAAATATGAACGTGATTATTTTCTTCAAGAATGACAACTTGGTGTACGGGCATTATTTCTTCATATCAATAATATTATGATTACATTTCTTATCCTCATCGTTATCATCAACATTAATATATAGTTCAAGAAGATGTTCATCTTGATAATGCTGTACATAGACGTGTCAAGAGGAAATTTAAATTATACCTGTATTCATATGAATAGTTACCCTGCAGGTTAGTCATGCCCTTAATAAAAGGGGAAAATCGTTTAAGGAATTCAGCGCCGTCGAGTTCATGCGTTGAACGTGTGTATTCTTAACTGCGGTATTATTTCGTTGCATAGGATCTTTGTGTCGGGTCGAGTAACACAGATTTCGTAAATTATCAAGTCGTAATTAATGAAGGACAGGAAAGGAAGAGGGTCATTCGTGAAATGCACCCCATCTCTCCCTATAGTGTTGGGTCCAAATAACTCGACACTTAAAGGGCAAGTCCACGCCATAAATAACTTACTTTTAATAGAAGCAGAAAAATCAGATAAAAGTATCAATTCTTCAAAGGTTATAAGAGATATTGTGAAATGTCATGCACGAATATGATAGAAATCATGTAACCTGGGCAAAAGCATGGGGGAAATCAAGTTTTGGGGGTTAAAGAGGGAAATTAAAAGAATAAAAACATATAAAGCAATTGGTAAATAGTGAGGCAATGACGTCACAAACTTATAATGGAATTGGCAATTTGTGTAGTGATTTCCATTGTTCCATGCTTTTTCATACTTTGTCAAAAATTCATAACTTCCTTATTAGTTATCCGATTAAACTCAAATTTGTTTGCTCTTTTTCTTCTGCATCTATTAAAAGCAATATATTTTTGGAGTAGATTTAGCCTTTAAGTTAGAAGCCTATAGAAAATGTACGAAAACTGGCGTAGCTCCCTGATACTTCTTGAGATACCGAGATACTGTTTGTAAATGAACTGATTGGTGCTCTCCTTACCTTGAACATTCAAACTGACAAAGCAGTTCGCTTGATTTCCGGCATTATCACGCGTAGTATATGTAGTGTAGTGATATCCTTCGCCAAAAACAGAACCAGGACCTGGCCCATGAGGAGGACTAAAATGGAGAAAACAAGTTGTTTTCTCAAGATATCAGGAATACGCACAGTCTTAAAAACACATTCTAGATTATAGTTTTCAGTATCAAAATAATTGTTACTTAACGATTTGTTCGAGCTCTGTCACCATCTAGTAGGGTAGTTATAAAAATGATAGTACTATTCTGCACGAGATTCAGAAGACCTTAAAAACCCTTTTCACCATCATAAAGATTAAGAATAGGAGTACATTGTTCAAATTGTTCTTTAGATATTAAAGTATAACACCACATATATTGAGAAGCCACCCATAGAGAGATAAGAGATAAAGGTGAAATTATTGTCGAAGAATTAATTCGCCCTTGGCCTTCAAACAACAGCAACAACATCATAATTGTGACTTACTCTACCACAGTATTTCCCCCTTGGAAGTCATCATAAGCAGTTGGTACATCCCACGTCACGCGTGTTGTTGGTGTTGTTATAGTATACGTCCCAAGATCATGCGGGCATTTTATGAATGATGGAGCAACCGTATCTAAATGGAAAATACAAAGAGGGGAAGATGAATTGTGTGGGCACACGGACACTTGTAACTCCCAAATATTATTGTGACCAATTTCATCACATAATAATGGTCACCGGACTTTGAATGACAAATATTGTATCTTTATAAACATCATTGATACCTATCACTTCGCTGTTTCTAAACACATAATACAAGTTTATAGCGGCCAATATAAATATAATTAATATGACGATATATATAAACGGTATACACATATTGAGTTGAGACTGTATGCGTGTGAAATTGTGGAATACCGGGTTATTGGGACATTGGGTCTTTATCACATCGTCTACGTATCATTACAACGAATTAGAAGAGGATACAAATAAAAGATGGCGAAATGAGCAAGAGTCAGAAGACTAAATGAAGGGCTCATAGGACTATTTTAAATCGTTATATTTAAACATTATTGATTGAATATTGATTCACTGTGTAATTCACATGCAATAAATGCTGAGTGTTTTATTTTTTGGTGTGTGTTCGTGTGTGTGTGAAAACGGGTGTAGTACATGTATTATGATGAATGGGTGTAAGTTTTTGTTTTTTATAACTAACGCTTGTTGATCAATTTTAATCAAAATATCATTTATGTTAATTTATTTTGTTTTATATTTGTATAGGGCCCCTCCTAATAAGATTTGCTTTCTTAGGGGTCCTACCAATGTTTATTTGGTATGTTTTCATAATGTAATTATTATGCTTTTTTAATCTCATTTTTTTAAAAATTATTATATACACGGTTGGTCATAAAGGTGGAATAATATTTTTTACCCCAGTTTATTGGATGATTTCGACCATGATTTATTCCTAATAGATCTAGATAATAGTATCCATTCTCAGATTTTATTGAATAACAAGTTGCGAGCTTATCAACTAGGGGACCTACGTCCTTAAGTCATAAGTGACAGTAAGGAGGATTAATGCTTCATAAAAGGGCACTTATATAGCACATCGACACAATTTTGATCCTGGGGCCTCAATTTTACGAGGCCATTGCTTTGCCACTGAATGATGACTGTTCGCAGCGGGGGCTAGGATAGGGGCAGCCCCCACAAAAAATCCAAGAAAATGCAACAAATTATTTTTTTTAAAAATTAAATCCCCCGGTCATGTATTATGGTTAAAGCATGGCCGCAAAGAGTAACTTTTCTCTGTTGGGGACCGGGGAATATGCAATGAATTATTGATAATTCATGCATTTTCTTGGCATTTTTTATTTGTGGGGGCTGCCCCCTACCCTAGCCCTCGCTGCGTACAGTCATGATTCAGTGGCAAAGCAATGGCCTCGTAACTGTGATGTTTGGTGATCTCGATGTCAGCTGAGTGCTGAAAACGGCACGTACTCCATCAGATTGCTATGTGATTTATTAGGATTAACATTCGTGTTTGCTGAACTAAGCATAGTTATTGAATTATACAGAAAAAGCAATCGCTTCTCGTTTTGGTAAACATGACTAAGACGTAGAAGTGTTTCGTCATCATCGATGTATTCGACTGGAGTATATATTTATTATAGAAAACACGCCCCAATTTATTTCACAAGACAATCAATTGTGATAATCAACATGTTTCTAGAATAAATATTTAATAATTTTCAGTTTCAAAGATAAGCCAACAGCTTTTTTTTTTCCGAACAAAAGACCTTAGTTCTAAACGCTCATTGGTTAAACGAAAAATCAATAATGGCCCAATGCCATATGGAGCAGAATTTGTATGGGGTATCATCTCAGAAAAATACCTTTACTGGCCACTTCAAAGCGAATAGGACCCACATACATTGGGAATGGCACCGAAGAACACTCAATATACCATAAGTTGTCAAAGAAAATACACATTAACAATGTAGACAAACAATTCCTAGAATGGCTGTACTGGGGTCCACTGCGGTACTACTGTACTGGGGTCCACTGCGGTACTACTGTCCTTTGGTTTGACATTAAGCTACATTTGCCACACTCGACCCATGTAAATGGTTCCTTGACAGGAATTACTTCCTTTAAATGCTAGAGCGCTGTAATGACAGCCAGGCGCGGATCCAGGATTTCTTAGGGGGGGGGGGGCCCAAATTTGAAATTATGCGAGCCAAATATTGGTACGTAATGGTGACCAGCAGTGACGTAATGCAGGGGGATGTAGGGAGGGGCGAGTTTCCCCCTCCCTCCTCTGCAAAACGCGGAAGCTATATATGACGTTTCATTAAAGTATTAGAGAAAGAAGACAATTCGTTGTACCGTTCTCGACTCTTAATCCTTCTCTTAATTCAGCCCCCCCCCTCCGCGCAGCGCGGAAGCTTTGACGTTTCATTAAACTATTATTGAAAGAAGACGATTCGTTATAGCGTTCTCGAAAATTATCCTCGTTTGAATGCAATTTTCCCCTCCCGCGCGAAGCGCGGAAACTTTTACGTTTCATTAAATCATTGACGAAAGAAAACGATTCGTTGTACCGTTCTTGACTCTTAATCCTTGTCTTAATTCAGCCCCCCCCCCCGTCTCGCGCGAAGCGCGGAAGCTTTTACGTTTCATTAAATCATTGGAGAAAGAAAACGATTCGTTGTATCGTTCTCGACTCTTAATCCTTGTCTTAATTCAGCCTCCCCCTCCGCAGCGCGGAAGCTTTGACGTTTCATTAAACTATTATTGAAAGAAGACGATTCGTTATAGCGTTCTCGAAAATTATCCTCGTTTGAATGCAATTTTCCCCTCCCGCGCGAAGCGCGGAAACTTTTACGTTTCATTAAATTATTAGAGATAGAAGACGATTCGTTGTACCGTTCTCTATACTCTTAATCCTTGTCTTAATTCAGTCCCCCCCCCCTCCGCGAAGCGCGGAAGCTTTGACGATTTATTAAATTATTAGAGATAGAAGACGATTCGTTGTACCGTTCTCTATACTCTATGTTTTTTGTCTGCTCCTTTTTCTCCCTACGTCCTCTTCCTTTCCTCTCCTCTCTATTTTTTTCATTTTTTTCTATCCCCCCCCCTGGCTACGCGCCTGCGGTCAGATAAACAAATTTTGATACCTTGTCCGACCCGAAAAGCTCAGGGGTTTTAGGCATTTGATTACGGTCAGATGAACATATTTTTATACCTTATTTGTGACACTGGCAGGACACTAATTGGCGTGAGGTCCAGCGGGCGAAGCCCCCAGAAAACAGGGTTTTAGGCATTACATTTCCGTCAGATTAGCATCCAGGGGAGCATAGGGCCCTAGGC